CCACTTTTCGGATGGACCTACAAAAGAAAACCGGTTGCTCCGTTGGGAATACCGACTCAAAGGATTTTTTGAGAAAACAGGACGTGGCTGGTCACGTGATGCAGTTACAAACAACTTTTTACATGAAATTGAAAGATTTTTGGGTTATGATTGGCCTTGAAACTACCTTACATCTCTATAATAATTAAAAATTCGGAGAAGTCTGTACAGACCCAAGCCTTAATCTACTTGAGAAGTTAGGAATCTCTAACAATTCCACATTGACTGTTATGTTTTTAGGCATGTTGCCCGACTTTGTTTGTTTGTTTTAATATATGCGGCCATGAAAATGTTGGAAAGGAAACTGCTGTATGTGCTCATCGCGTACCGTGGTTTTTCACTGATAGTGCTTTCCATTAAACTGTAAAGAATTTTCTTTAAGGATTAAGATAAGCATTTCTCGGACCAAAACAAGAAACGTTCAGTTTTTTCACCTTTGTCTTTTCAATAAAATTTATTAATCGGTAGCATCTTTAAGGTGTAGCTTCTGTGATTATGATATTAGTTGTAGTAATGTACTCGTATCAACAAAAGAGGAAGTGCTTTCTGTTAGACCATCTGATGAGTCAAAAATTTAAAGAGGTTACTTTCTAACGGCTAGAAAAAAATGCAAAATGCTCTTTTTTTTTGAAACAGATATTGATAATGTCAGCCCATGTCGGTGGTCGGTTAATATTTTTCCCGTCGGTAGTCGATAATTTTTTACTCGTTTTGTCGGTAGTCAGTAATATTTTTCGCCCTTTGTCGCCAGTCGGTTAACCCCATTCACACCCTCTTGTGAAATCCAAACCCTAATGCCCGGGGGAGTGGGGGCGGGGGGTACCTCCTTATAAGAGGTTAGTGGGAACGTTCCGCTGGATGGGATCACATTTTCACGACTGGATTGACTATAATGGGGGTTACATTTTCAACAGAGTTTTTTGGGGTAAGAGAGTTAGCAAACGTACCAGCATGTTTGTACTGTAGGTGAAAAGTAAAGTGTTCTTCATTCAATCAAAAAAATGGGTCATGTCTCCTCCCCGGGCCTTAATGTTTCAACCAAGTCGTGAAGAACAATACGGTTTGAAAATAATACTGGGACATTCAACGACTGTAAAATATATGTTCAAAGGAGTCAAAATTGCCTAGAATTGTCTTCAAAACTACCTGTGCCAAACAGAAGGCAAATAGTTAATAAATGTAGCAAGCACGTCCTTTCAATGATAATAGCTTGATATCTTAGTTTTCGTGCCTCGCGCTCAATCTAAGTGCGTTTTAAAAATGTTACGACTGAAAACAGAAATCTATGAAATCAGTGTAGTGTAGAAGCAATAAAGAATACTACGTTGTGTAAACTTTACTAGTGATAAGGTGTCCAGGCGGTTTTGGCCGATAGGATCTAATGCTTTAGACCAGAATCCTCTTCGTTATTTCTTTCATATTTTAATTCAATGATTTTACCGTCGGGAATATATATATATATATATATATATATATATATATTTTTGCCAATATTTCGTTAAGTTAAGCTAAGACGTTACAATTTGAAATGAAGAATAGCGTGCAATTTGATAACACGTGAAATATGAAATGAGAAAAAAGTGAACGTTCAAAACCAAAACCGTTGAAGTAGTGATTGGAAAGAAATTTGAAATGTAAAAATAGTATAAGTAAATGATAACAAGTAGAAGAAATAAAGACTGTATTACATTTTATCTTTCTCATTCATACCTGAAGGTTCAAGAGTTTTGCCTCTCTCGAAGAGGTACGCTTCTCTACCTTTTTGTATACTGTCTCTATTAGATTTAATGAGCTCTAGTGGGATAAGTGTGACGTCGTTAGCAGAAAGATCATTAGTAAGAAATTGTTCTGAGACCGTGGTGGGTTTAGAGATAATAGATGGGTTTTCAGCTGGTCTGCGGTGTTCATCGTTGAAGCGCTGTTTGAGTCGTCGTGTATTGTTTGGAGCAGTGGTTGCCGTGTATCACGTAAATGACGTTTTTGGAGTTACAGTCAATGTGATTAGTGATAGGTCTGGTTTCGCCTGTAGCGTGGAATGTGTATGAAGTTTGTCTGTCAGATATGTTTTTACAAGTGCTACGGTTTTTTCCGCATGGGTATGAGCCCCGGGGATGGTTGTGTTGTGTGAAATTGCGAAGTTTGGCCCTAACTAGAAAATCACTGAGGTTACTACCACGTCTGTGAGCTACAATGGGTGCAGCTTTAAAGATGTTATAGCAACGGGGGGATGAAATAAGGATTTGAAAGTGTTTGCGAATAATGGAAGAGATGAAACGAAGGGTTGGGTTGTAGGTGATAACAAAGGGAACACTTTCTTGTTTGTCCAGTGTACAAGTGTCATGGGGCGTAAGTGCTTCTGTCCGTGTGATATTATTAACTTGCTGTATTTCCCGTTGAAGGAAATAGAGGTTATAAACACATTTGTAAAGATAGTAAATAATTTCATTGGTACGTAGTGTGAAGGTCTCGTTGGTTGAACAAATGCGGCGGAGTCTAAGAGCTAGACTGAAAGAAATAGCACGTTCAGGTGCGTATGGGATGACATGACGAATGTAGTAAGTATTCGTTTTTGTCTGTAGGTTTGGTGTAAAGGTTAGTGACGATTGTGCCATTGTCAAGTGAAACGTTGACATCGAGAAAGGGTATGGATGTGAAGGAATAGTCGTATGTGAATTTTATGGTGGGGTGAATGTAATTGAGAAGGGAAGTATCATGTCCATATCATGAAGATGTCGTCTATATAACGCCACCATATGAAGGGCTGAAAAGGGGCACGTGATAAGGCATCCGTGTCGAATTTGGCGAGAAAAAGGTTGGCGTATGACAGAGCTATCACTGTCCCCATAGCGGTACCATGTGTCTATAAGTAATGTTTGTCATTGCAATAGAAGTTGTTCATATTGAGAATCATGCGTATGAGGTCACAAAGTGTTTAACCAGCCGGGGCTAAAAGCGAAGCTCTCGATAATATTTATAATTCGTTCAAACAAAATATAAAATCGTGTAATGCTAAGGCAACGAGAACGGCGAAAAAACAACGATAGGTCTAATTAGCAAAAAAAGTAACCTTGCACGTGCAGCACACTTTTTGGTACATTTCTTTGCCGTTGTCTTGCAGGACTGCAACGTGAAACTCCTAAGTTACACGTTTTATCGAGGAAATGTCGTACTTGTTCTCGTTCACTATTTTTCATTACCGTTCTTTTTCACCTTGCATTGGTGGCCGCTAGCATTTAGATAGATAGATAGATAGATAGATAGATAGATAGATAGATAGATAGATAGATAGATACTTTATTATAAACACCATTGCAGCCATAGGCTGAATTACGGGATATTTAAAAATACTGATGATAACAAGGAGAAAATAAGAAAATTATCTACATCTTATAGACATGGCTAAAAATAAAACTTTTCTTCAAACGCTCGGTTTTACATAGGGGGAGAGTGATGTCACTTTTGCGTCTCAGTGCATATTTACAACTCTTCCTTTGGGGGAGGAGGCTATGGAGACTGTGGGTGGGGTTACAGACGATCTCGTCAAACAGATCGATTGAAATTTCTCATTTTGTCACCTCCGCTACAAAATTCTAGGGAAAAAATGTCTTTTTTATCTCTCACTCTACAGCTCTGACCCCCTTTTTCTCGTTGAGTTTCGCTGACCTGCAGCCCACTTTCTCTTTTTCTCTGTCTTTCTCTTGTCCTATATTCCAAATTTGTGGACATGACAATTATTCTAAGCTTAAAGCTCTAAGCACCCCTTCTGCCCACCCCTTGACTCCGCCTTGTTTTGCATGAATTTTGCAATGTTAGTTTGTTTCGGTAGAGTTTTCAGAGGCCATACCGATATTTTTCAATCGCCTTAAAAGTGTTTTTTTCCTTGTCCGATCGCTATAAAATTTACACCAGTAATTGGCTATGGATTGAAATTCTGAATGAAGTGGGTAGGCAGAAGGGGGCGCGGCAATAACCCCTTTCTCTTTGAATTCTGTATTATTCTTGTAGAATTCTCAGGAAAATAAAAAGTATCTATATAGCTCGTGCGGCAAGTGGGCCGTAAAAAGAGAAAACTAAGCATAATTTCATATAAGTTTAATGAGAGGAATCACGACAAAGTTTCACAAGACTGAAATGCTACAATCAGAGATGTTAAAGTGAAAGTATTAGTCTTTGTGTTCGGGAATTGCTTGGTTGACAAACATTCGATAAGCTATAGTTTTCACTTGTCGATAGCTAGTTCGGTTGATTCAAATCCTGCTGTATCTTTAAGAACTTTTTGGGAGTCCCATTACCTTTCGGAAAATAGTCTTTCTTCATATCTCACATCTATTGCATATACTACATAAAAGAGCACCACTCCGGAGCTCACCCGAACCTCGCGAATCTCCGTTCTCTTTGTATTTATTAATCAAAACGTTGAGCTGCACCTGGAGGAGTTTCTGAACTTTATTTTTAAGATGGCGGTACCAAGGATCCTCTTGTATTTGTTTCTCACAAGTTTTGCTGGATGCTGACGATGTAGTGTTGAGTTTGCCGCTAAAACTGCTATTGAGTTAGAAGCAAGCCTTAACCCTGATATCAACCATACTTCTTCGTGGATGGAAGAAAACAATAACTAGAAGTCCAAAGACTACTGCAAAGCCGGATTTAAAACAAAGTGTATTGTTTTTATAACAGTTCCACAGTTTTTGCAGTTAATTTCATCCTTTAAGAAAACAAGCTATTTTTGAAAATGAGCAAGACGGAATATGTTATTTATAGCGCATACCAACGGCTCAAGAGGGAAGATAATATAAGCTTATCCTACAACGGATCTTCTGTGACTGCATCCGACTCTTTCAAATATGTTGGCGTCGTGATTGATCAGCACTTGAACTTTACCAACAATATTGAGCACGTAGTCAACAAAGTTTTATTCAAGAAAATTGGGTGTTCTTAGGCCTTTGAGAATCTCTATTCCCATGGTTGCAGCTGAACGCCTCGACAAGAAGATGATTTTACCCATTTTTGATTACTGTAAGGTGGCCTGGCACGGGTGTGGAAAAGTTAACCCTGATGCTCTCGAGAGTTTACAGCATGGAGCCGCGAAGTTAATTTTTGGAAATTCTCGTCTCGATACTAAACTGGAACTGAATGATACCTTCGGTTTAGTGCCTTGGTTAATAGGTGGTTTTCACGTTACCTCATCGCCGCCATGCTGGTGGACGGTAAACAAAAGATCGCTCATTAGCTCGCTTTGTTTGTCCACCAGCATTTGTTCATTTCACCATTGTCATTTGAGTCTCCCGAGATTGCATGAAAACCACCTATAGGCGTAACTCACATTGTTTTGTGAAAGGTTTGAACCCAGGAGTCATTTCAAAAGGTTGAGTTTGATCGTCCGGGTGAACGTAGTCCTGAATAGGACTGTTGTTGTTGACAGTGACTGACGTTTCGACAACCTGTGCGGTAGTCATCTTCAGAGTCAAAGTGAGTTGTATCACGTCAGTTGATGGTATCATACTCTGGTTATTGATCTGATTGGTCAATTATGTCGCGATGTTATTGGTCGTCTGTCAAATAAGCCGTGATGATATTGGCTACGAAGACTCGTAATCAGTGATTGGTGCGTTTCGATCCGTCTATTGTCACAGTTAAACAGTCGTCTATTATTAGTCAAATTGTCAGTTCTCCAGTTGTTCTCTCGTAGTTAGTTTTGCTTGATCTCGTCAATAAGTCGTTTGTACGGCGCTGGTAACTGTTGGCTACGATTCAGTGGCGTTTGTTCTAAGTTAGTAAACCAGCTTTCTAAAGTAAGACGTTGATAGTAGTCTGTAGAATACGTTATACATGTCGCAGAGTCCCAGTCAATTTGATGTTTCGTCTTTAAATGGTGCTCAGCAATGTGATTGTTGACGTCACCATTACTCGTCGCACGTTTGTGTTCGGTCAGTCGCGTGCTTAGGTTTCTGCCGGTTTCACCAATGTAAGAAGCCTGGCAGTCGCAGCATTTGATCTTGTATACTGCTCCCTGTCTGTCCTCCGGTTTGTCTTTGTCCTTGAGTATAATACCATCAACTGACGTGATACAATTCACTTTGACTCTGAAGATGACTACCGCACAGGTTGTCGAAACGTCAGTCACTGTCAACAACAACAGTACTATTCAGGACTACGTTCACCCGGACGATCAAACTCAACCTTTTCACATTGTTTTGTTAACAAGAAAATGCCTTCACGGTTCAGTTCCACCCTATTTGAATAATTATTTTAAGTTAAATGCGTCTGTACACTCCGTAACAACTAGACGCTGCAATGATATTCATATCCCGAAAGTGAAGCAAGCGGTCGCAAAAAGATCGTTTTATTTTACAGGTGCGACGGAAATTTACAGCCCAACTACTTTTATCAAACCAAAGAAATCCTTCCTTGACTTCTCACTCCTGCAAGGGAAACTAAAGATCTTTTTCTTAATTAGTTAATGACTTTTTGAATCTGTTTTAACTGTATATATTTTTTATCTATATATATCAGCCGTGCGCAATTTTCTTTTTGTTCAATCTCTTCTTTCTCTTGTTTAGAATAATCCGTTTTGTGAGCGACTTTACTTTCTCAGGTCGCTTTCTTCACTATCATAGAGTCGATACTCCCATTAGCTTGTTGAAGGTATTCATCATATCCGACAATTTATATTGTACGAGTTGTGGATAAAACATAAAGTGCTTTGATCGGGAGAGAACGCCAGTTTTGACGCGAGAAAGGGTTGGGGAGTAATTTTGATGAGCGACTTTTAAAATGTAACTTCCGTGTATTTAATAAGCGGAATAAACAACGTTAAAGTTATACGGCACACTTAATTTGTTGAAGCTTATGCCCCCCTTTTTTGTTCTACCGGAAGGTGTTTTTTGCCTTTAATAACATGACCCACTCAATACGAGGGGTACAGAATAGTAGATTGGAGACCTGGCGAGACCCCGGTTTCAGATTTCAAGACCCACGTTTTTTTCGAGGGGCCATTCTAACTGCAATCGACTCTAAGGAAATGAGCAGAGCATAACAAAACAAATATGAGACACAAAGTAATTCGGATGCACTCATTTCAGAAAAAAACTAGATCAATGGCTTCACGAAACCGCTATTTTCTTGTAACTCAACAGCGTCAATTGCTAGAACCGACCCTCGAGACCAAATACGGCTTCATTCAAGGCAAAAAATTTAGATGTTGCTTCAGCACAAATTGAAACCGAAAGTTCCTCAAAACGCTGAAAAACTGAAACCGCTCTCAGTTCAGTTTTCAAAGAAAACGTATTCTTCCCACCACAAGCCACACGGCAAATATCAAAATAGACTAGGTCGGATTGACGGACGCTGTCTTGGAATTTCAAATAGGCTGGAACTGAAACACATGGAATTTCTTACAAACATTTTGGGGATTTTAAGAGCGCCAGATACTCGCGAGGAAAATTTTTAGATCAAATTAAACATTTTCCAGTTTGACAACCGATGTGACAATGGGCGGAAGAGCCTCAATAACAAATGATCCACCCGTTTTACGTGGACCAGGCGCTGATATTTCGCGTGCATTTCACTTTTGCGTCATGCCCAGCAGATCTGAGAGCCTGAAACAGGCTACATCAAAAACGCTTTGGAGAGTTTTAGATCGGGTCAAAATCTTCGGAGACACGCGTTTCTTCGAGGTAATGTTCTTTAAGCGGCCAACTCAGTTCTTTTTCGCCCGGAATTGAGCAAAGCATCGTTACTTTCCAATCAACTACCATGAATACACCGCACACGTTCTACGGACCCTTCAGTGCCCATACCAACGGGGTTGACTGCACTTCGAATTTTTAAATTAGAAGAACTTAAAAAATAAAACGTATTAAAAACAAATGAACAAATCTACACTCCCCTGCCATAACTAAAATAATTAACCTTCTCCCAACCCCCCCCCCCCCCCCCCCCCCCACCCCCCCCCCCCCTACCCCCCCCCCGCC